TGCACAGACAGACCTGGTTTGGCCAAGCTAGCACTGCCTGACCCGTCAAGCACTACCTGGTACTGAGTGGCACAGACTGGCACAGACTGGTGCGGTCTGTCACAAGTTGGCATGGGCTGGCATAGACGGGCACTGCCAGCACCAGGTGGCACAAGTTGGCCATGGCTACATAGACTGGCACTGTCTGGCACAGGTTGGCACTGACTGGGTGGTTTGGCACAACCTGGCACAATGTATCCCAGGCTCTTCTAGAAACTTCCATGGCCCAAGTGACCCCATTCCGCAGACAGCTGGTAAGTGCTGGGGGAGGGACCTTGCTCCTGGGGTCGGGGCACCTGCTGTGGGCTGGGACACACCCTCTGAGAGGCTCAGACTCAAAACTCACCAGGGGCAACCGTGGAGTGATGCCGGTGGCGATGGTGTGCCCAAGCCAGCCAGGTCCTGGCCGGCACCAGGGTCCTGCGCTTGCGAATGGTCCTACTCACCCGCAAAGCGACCATGAGCTGGGCTGCGCGCCCTCACCCCCACCTGACAGAGGGACCCTCAAGACTGGTCCCGCCGCACATGGGTCTGAACGGGGGCTGTTCCCGTGCCCTCCAGCAGAGCCCGGAAGCATCACGCGCCCGGCTTCTTTGATGCTCCCTGACCCACAGAGGTGACCCACTCATGGGACAGCATGCCTGGGGCCACTCAGAGCCGGACCAGACGCCCCCTCTGAACCTACTCTGACCATCTTCCTGTAGCCGCAGCCCCTGCCATCAGTCTAGCTCCTCTAGCAAGGAGGACAGGAGGAGGTGGTCAGCCTTGCGGGTGGGGGGGGCGGGGGTGAGGTGCAGCTGCCAGCACCCAGCCCTGGCCGCACCTCTCACCCCAGCCTCAGCCCCGGCCGCATGGGAACAATCCCCTTCTGGCCCTGGGTAAGAACAAGAGGCCGGAGCCCCTGCACCCGGTCCCACCGTGCCCCTCGGTGCCTGTACTACGCCTCACTGTCCTTCTCTGTCAAGTGGGTCATTACGGTCAGCCTCCAGATGGCCACTGGGAGTTTGCCCAGCGTGGCGAGAGGAGATGCGGTACCGATTGTGGCCAGCAGGTGGCGCCCAGAGAGAAGCCCCAGAAACTGCTGGTGAGGGTGGTCGGGAGGGTTGAGGGGGTCTCTCTACTGCCTGTTCTGTCCAGCTTTCCGGTCCTCACGGGACTGACATGGTACTCTGGGAAGGCAGCCACTGACCTGGGCACACTACTGGCTCTGCTCTCCCTCTCCTGCTTCCCCTGTGCTGGACTGTCCACGACCTTCTCTGCAGAAGCCACCGGGAAACCTGGTATCTGCTGCCCCCTAGTGGCGAAGGATGCGCGACGCGGCTCAGCCCAATTTTCCTGCCCTTCACCCCAGGTGGTACTTGGGGTTCACGCCGTGTCCCAGCTGTGTCCACTCGACCTCTGAAACTGCCAGAAAGGTCAGTGATGTCATCTGAGGGGGACAGTGTGAGGGAAGCCACCGCCCTGCTTCCCACTCTGCTTCCCAGTGCCAAATACACGGACGCACGCACGTACTGGCACACTCGTGCAAACATTCACACAGTATGTGTGTGTGTGTGTGTGTGTGTGTCCACCCCTCGGCATGCGCAGAGCTACAGATCCCGGGAAACCCTTTCACACATGCATGCATACACTGGCGACACACATATCCATGTACATGCCCACACAGGACACACACACACACACACACTCAGCATGCACATGTCCACACAGGACACACACACACACACACACACACACACACACACACACACCCAGCATGCACATGCTCACACAAGGCACACACAGAGGCACACACACACACATTCAGCACGCACAAGCCTACACAGGGCACACATGCACACACAGACGCGCACACACACCCTCAGCGTGCACAACCTCACACAGGCAGTCACAGAGAAACCCCCCACAGGTGGACGCACCGATGCCTATGCAGAGACCCAGCCTGGTCCCGGTTGTCACTTGTAGATGGCCCGGCAGTTTCACCCTTGGTGGAGACCCCTTTGCTGGGGGCTCAGGCACCCCGACCCTTTCCTGGGTGCTTTGTGTTCCAGAAAGCCCCACCCCCAGGCAGGTCAGGCCCCGGAAGAGGCTGGTGTAGCCCAAGCCTCAGTCGCATCTGGGGTCCCCACCCAGCCTTGGCCTGTGTCCTTGGTGTGAGCCTGGTGTCCAGTGGCACCGTCACAGAGCCCGGGCCGGGGCAGAAGCACAGCTGCCGTCCCTCATGGCTCCCGTGGGGGCTGGCGGTGCCCCTGCAGCTGCTGGCAAGGAAGCCTCGGCCCGGCATGGGCTGGGGAGGCAGGAAGGCAAGAGAGAGGGTCCTGGAAGTCCAGGGGTCGTGGGTAGGCTCCAGTCCACTCCTCAGGGCTGTGTGGAGCAGAGGGGCCCAGGAGGGGGCGGGGTCTGTTCGCCCCTGGGTGCTGGCACCATCAATGAGTCCTTAAGTGCCCCACCTCACGCCTGTGCTCATGAAGTCTCGCACCCGCATCCCTGTCTGAACCCAGGGGGGTGGGGTACCAGGCTGCACCCCTTGGCTCCCACAGGGGCAGGGAGCAACGGGGAGCCAGACACCGTCTCCCATTGGCCTGGCCTGGGCCCCCCAGCTGGAATTTTTGCCCTGTTTGCTCTTTCCAAAGCCCAAGTGAAGAGATGGGACAGGCTGAGCCAGAAGCGGCAAGAACCAAGCGTGAGCTGAGTCCTTCCCGCCACGCTGGGCTACACAGAGGAAGCCAGTCTCAGAGTCGCCTCTGGGAGATTCCTTGAAAAGGGATCAAAGAAATTTGCGACAAGTTGGGGGCAGGGGAGGGGAGGAAATGGTCACTCTGTACAAGAACTGGGTGCTAAAAGGAGACAAAGGACACACAGGGTAACCTGTCAGTAACAGTATTGCCAACTGTGATGCCCCGTGGAGAGAGAGGGAGAGAAAGAGAAGAAAAGTGCCCGGTGGGAGGGAAACTGAGGCGTTGGTGGTGGTAGATGTGCTCTGGCGCATTGCACGACTCAAACCCGACCATGAACAACTTCGTTATCTCCCAGCGATTTATTATTATTATTATTATTATTGCTTTTTGGGTCTCACTTGGCGATGCACAGGGGTTACTCCTGGCTCTACACTCAGGAATAATTCCTGGCGGTGCTCAGGGGACCATATGGGATGCTGGGAATCGAACCCGGGCCAGCCGCGTGCAAGACAAACGCCCTACCCCCTGTGCTATTGCTCCAGCCCCCACCAGCGATTTAATTAAAAACACACACACACACACACACACAAAATTAAATTAAAATACTGAGAGTATCTCGCCTGCACGGCAAAGCCTGGCAAGCTCCCCGTGACGTATTCGATATGCCAAAAACAGTAGTAAGTCTCACAATTTGTTATGAGACATTACTGGTGCCCGCTAGAGCAAATAGATGAACAACGGGAGCACAGCACTACAGTGCTAAATCTGGGGGCGGGACAACGGAAGGTCACGTGAGGCCACGGGGGACGGACAGCCAGACAAACCAATGAGAGCTGGGAAAGCAGCCTCCCGGGCACCCAGCGTCCCTCCAGGCCAGGGCACGGCCACACCCAGAAACTGGCCTCCCGGACACCCCCGGCCAGGCACAAACGGTCCTGAGGAAGCGGGGATTCACGGATGTCACGTCGAGGGGTCCCCGGGGGCCGAGTGGGGGGGTCCTCCCCAGGCTGGAGTGACCCCTGGCTTGCCCTAGTCCAGCCGGGCGCTGCCCCCGGCCAGCGACACGTCCCAAGGACAACCGTGGGGGCCTCTGCTCGGCCGCTCAGTGCTCGCGGACGCCCCACTCCTCCCCGGGGAGTGGACTTTGGGGCGTCTCCCCGCTGTCTCCGAGCTTCGGCCCTGGACTTGGTGGGCCGAGGCATTCGGACAGCCGGGCCGGCCCCGGGCTGGGAGCCGGGACACCTGGACCCCGGCTTTCAGCTGCTGCTCCCGAGTCCGCGGGCTCGGAGGCCCCAGGGTGGGGGTCCCCTGCCCCCTCCCTACCTGCTGCCCGACGCTGCGTCCAGGGCGCGGCGCCGGGTCCAGCACGTGCGGGCGCGGCCCGGACTCAGGCGCCCTCTGGCGGCCGCCGCGGGCCCTGCCGCCCTCCCGGCCGCTCGGGGCTGGGATTTTTTTTTTTTGTCCGCCAATCCCCGGGTGGCCGGCCGGGCGCGGTGACCACCCAGCATGGACGGTGGAAAATTCCACAGGGAAGCGAAAGCTCCGGAGCCGCCAGCCCCGCGGGAGGGGAAAGTGTGAGTAAGGGCCTGGGAATGTTCTGGTCGCCCCAGCGCTGGGGGCCCCAGGACCCACGAATCATGTCCTAGGGCTGCTGGGCGCTGCGGGGCTGGACAGCACCTCCGGGCGGGCGGCAGGCTCAGCCTGAACATTCTAGTAACGGGACCTCTCCAGCGCATTCCTTCTCCCGGGCTTCCTGGGGCCTAGCTGCCCCTCCATCCCCCTCCAGGACCCCAGGGCCCCTGCCTTGCCCTTCCTGCTTCCTCCCCCACCATCCAGGGCACTGTTTCAGGTGCCGACACATATCACCTGTCACCACAAGGAGCAGGTGTCCAAGTACAGTCCAGAGGTCACCAGCCAGAACCCCCTCCTCTCCCAGGACCCCCAGTTCTCCCGGGACCCCCTGTCCTTTCCCAGGACCCCCTGTCCTCCCAGGATCCAGCACACCCCCCTCGGCAGTGACCTCTGACCTTCTGGTCCCCTGCTCACTCTGGGCCAGTCTCTGCATCTGGACATTGGCCCTCTGGGGCTGCAATGAGTCTGGACTTGAGGTGGGTCCAGGCCTGGGTGTGAGACCTTGGTCACCAGCTGAGCCCAGACCAAGTGGGGGGACAGGGAAGAAGGAGGTAGGGCGCAGGACCGGTCCGAAGTGACTTTATTGGCAGCAGGAGGGAGCAGGCGGGGAGAGGCTGTGCCCACCCAGAGTGGCAGGGAGCCCGGGCCCGGCAGAGCTGGGGACAGAGGATGATGGCCAGGGGAAGGTGTCCCAAGGGGCCCGGGGCGGTGGAGGGCTCAGCCGGCTCTGCAAAGACAAAGCAGGATGGGGCTGAGGGGGGTCTCAGCTCCCCGAATCCCTGTGTGAGACCCCCACACCCCACCCCATGCAATGCCACTCTCTCAACCGTTACTGGAAATGCATCATGGGTGGGCCAGTGAGATTTCGGTGCCTAGAGCCCACCTTGCTTCCAAAGTACCTGTTATTACAGGTCATCTTCGTCTACTTGCCTGCAATGAGGAAGGAAAAAGGTCAGAGAGAGACCCAGGCAGCCCCCCCATCAGGACCCCACGGGAGGGAGACCCAGGCCCACCATCAGGACCCCACACTCACCGATGCTTCTTGCCTCCACATCGCAGCGTCTTGCCTTGAGAGAGAAAGGGTTTTTTTCCCATGGAACCCCTAAGCAGCGGAGCTGGGGGTCCCCGGCTGTGCTCAGGCCCCTGGGCATCCCCCATGGTGCTGCCCATAGCCATGGGCGGCTGGGGTGAGGCGCAGCCCGTCATGAGCAGACTTCGGAGAGGTGCAGCATTGCTGTGGGGGACCCCAGGCCCAGAGGGGCATGTCTGTGTACCCTCCAGCTGTGTCCACATCAACCCCCCCCCCCAGTGGGACCTCCCAGCCCATCTCTCCAGCCGGCGGCGGCAAGCAACTCGTCCCTGTTATCAGGAGTTGAGGTCACCACCAGGCTCAACCTGGGGCTTTAGGATGCTCCTGGGGGTGGAAAAGGGGCACCCTGCGCTCAGCTGAGCCCAGCTCCGTCCCACTGGCCAGGTCAGTGTTGCCCAGAGCACCTGGGAACCGAGGTGTGGCTCAAGGCAAGCACATACCCAGATCTAGGGTGGGCTGGATGCCCCCTCCCCCACCCCGCCTGGCTCGGCAGTACCCGCTGTGGCCACTGGAGGGCGCCTGAGAAGCCGGTGCCCCCTTGGGTCCCTTCTGGGAGCCCCGCCCGCTCCCACCCCGCCCCCACTTACTGAGGATGATGAGGAGGCCCAGCACAAACGCGATGCCCGCGAAGATGAGGCCCCCTTTCCGCACAGTGTCATAGTCTGTGAAGGGACAGAGGGGGCGAGAGGGGTGGGCATGCCTGGGAAAGGGAGTGCAGGGCGCAGGGACTGGGGGCCGCCAGCTTACCATAGTGGAATGGGTCCACTTCTCCTTTGGAGCTGCCTCCTGTGGAATGTGCCAGAGGCAGGGTGAGGGGAGGCACAGGAAGAGTGGACGCCCCACTTGCCCTCCCAGCATCCCCCGGGGCCGGTGGGCACAGGGCTCCAGTCCACATCCTCCCAAGCTGGTGCCATCTGGGGCAGGCTCTCAGCATCCAGTGGGAAAGAGCACAGGGATCACCCTGGATCCAGCCGGGGGTGATCCAAAATCCACCCCCCCAAAAAATGTTCAGCTCCAAGGGCCTCTGGGAGTCATGGGATCTTCCTGCATCACAACAGGGGCAGGCGGAGCTGGGGGGTGGGGGCGTTCTCGGATTTTCAGAGTCTCCATAGGGCCAGCCACTGCCAGCTTACATCCTTAGGATAAATAGATGAGTGGGCAGAGGGAGGGAGGGAAAGGGAGGAACGGAAAGGGAGGAAGGAAGGAAGGAAGGAAGGAAGGGAGAGAGGGAGACAGTCTAGAACCTTGAACTTCCCTGAAAGCTGGAGGAAACTGGGGTCTGTTTTTAGATCTTCCCACAGTCCCCGTGAAAGTTAGAAGCAGACTAAATCATCCGTCTGGGTTTCTGGACTCCGTGCCAGGCTGTTTTTACTTGGGGCACCCCGGCAGCCGACCTCCACTGCCCAACCGCCGCCACGCTCCAGGTTGCTTTCCAGACCACACGGCCAGAGACACATCATAAGACACTTCCTACCCATTTTCCATAATTACCACATCATATTTGATGGGGTTCAGACAGTAGGCAACAAATCATAAGTATGTGTGTGTGTGTGTGTGTGTGTGTGTGTGTGTGTGTGTATACCTCTCGGAGAGCCTGGCAAGCTACCGAGAGTATCCCACCCACACGGGCAGAGCCTGACAAGCTCCCTGTGGCGTATTTGATAAGCCAAAAACAGTAACGATAACAGGTCTCATTCCCCTGACCCTGAAAGAGCCTCCAATCGTTGGGAAAGACGAGTAAGAAGAGGCTGCTAAAATCCCAGGGCTGGGACGAATAGAGACGTTATTGGTGCCTGCTCAACGAACAACAGGATGACAGTAATACAACCATACAGGGTTTCTAGATCCTTCTGTCCAGCGTTGCCACCTCTGGTGGAAGGCAGCCCAGTCATGCTCTTGCCTAACAGAAGATCAGCTCTGGAGGAACCCTAACAACAAAGGGGGCATGAAAAGTTCACCCCAGTGAGACCCGGGTGGGGGGTGGTCAGTGAGGTACACAGCAGGGCGCGAGCCCAGCCGGGGCTTGAACCTGAGTACTGGGAGTCCAGGCTGCCCCTGGTGGTTCCCCCGGTGGCCGGCAGGTGGCGCTGTTCTGCCCCGCCCCATCACCTTGGCCTTGGCTGCAGGAGCCGGCCCCTGCCCTTGCCTTGCTCAGGTCCCCCCTGGCTGCTGATGGCCAGCAGGGAAGGAATGTGCAAGTCGGCACCTCCAAGCTGTGCTGAACTGTGCCCGGGAATAGGCCAGGCCAGTGCATGGCTGCGCAGGACAGCCAGAATGGCCCAGGTACACTCCTCCTGCTGGCCTCCTCAGATCCACACGGGGTCACCATCAAGGTCACTCACTGGACCCTAAGGGGTCCCCTCGACCCCTCCCCATCCTCCCAAGAAGCAGCTTACAGCCCAGCCCGCAGCCCCCTGCCCCGTCACAGGAGGCTTCTGGGGGGGTGTCTGTCACAGGCCCCAGAGGGTAACTGGGGGGCAGCCCTCCCAGCCCAGTACTCCATCCACCTGCTCTGAACTCAGCCCCGAAAGCAGGCAGGTGGTAGGGAAGCCCAGGCAGCTCAACCCGGCCCCCACATCCCTGGTCCCTCCCCCATATCTCTCTGGGGGGCCGGGCAGGACCCTCCTTGAGAGGGGCGGGGCGGGGACCCACACACCAGGACCCTGGGGTCCAGCCCTCCGCAGAGACCACCCCGGCACTCACCAACCCCCGCCAACTGCCCGGCCATGTCCCCCGTGGATGGGTTGCTGCCCTCTGCCTGGGCTCCAGGCCTGCGCCGGCCTTGGGGTGGCGGGGGGCAGGGGGACATTAAACATTAACCGTGCCAGGTAATGTTTACCCGGGTCACAAGAAAGCCCCCGTGTGTGTGAGGGGCTCCGGGTGCCGTGCCGGCAGCAGGGCGGGGCGCCGCCTCCCAAACCCGCGCGGAGGAAATTTCCAGGGCGGAAGCGACAGTCACCAGTGTTCAACCAGCCCCCCTGGGAAGTACAGCTGCCCCGGGGGTGGGGGTCTTGGAAATACGAGGCCCCCTGCCCCAGTACAGCCCCCCGCAATGTGGGAGGGGTCAGCCACCCCTGTGGGATCTGCTTTCAGGCCCTCCTGAATCCCCCCTGGATGACCACACCCCACCTCTGATGCCTGGTCATCTCCCTCTTGTCCCTCCATGGACGGGGCTGGCCTCTAGCAGCCCGGCACCCCTGCACCCCAGTCCTGCCTCTCCCCGCCCGTGCACCCCGTTTTCCCTGACTTAGGGCTCCCTCCCGATTCCTGTGCCCATGGGGGTCCCCCTACGGTAGCTCCATCCAGTGGGGGGACCCCACATCTCTCTCCCGCTGTCTCCCAGCACTTGCAGGACACCCCTTCCCAAAGTCACTCAGCGGAGGGACGTGGTAAGGCTGACCCCTGCCTGCAGCGGGGGAGCTGGGGAACCCCACCCCCACCAGGGACCACCTCTCCTCTGTGGCCCCTGCCTCGAGGACCCTACGCTGGGCTCCTGTCGATGGCCAGCAGTAGGTGCGGTGGCAGGGGGTTTTCCGTGGGGCCCGCTCTGGGTGGGGAGCACGGGGGAGGGGACGGGGCTCGCTTCCGGGCCCCCCACTGCTGCCTGGCACTTGCCTTCAGCTCCGTGCTTGTCGCCTGCCCAGGGGGGACACAATGTCCCCTGGGCGCTGTGATGGGAAAACTGGTCAGGGCTGCCCCCCCCACCCCCCATCACGTCGCTGCTGGCTGGGGGAACCGCAGCATTAGGCGTCCGCAGACTTGCACTGGGGGACAGAGAGGCCCCCCTCGTGCCCGTGGCCAGGGCGCCCTGACCCTGAGTCTCGGCCTGCACCCAGGACCATGACCCCCTTCCGCCTCCCAACCATTTGGGAAAGGGGCAGCTCAGAGCAACCGCTGGGCTGTCGACACGCCCCTCTGGCTGCTTCATTTTATAGAGAGAGAGAAACTAAGGCTGAGCCCCTGCCACGCACACACACACACACACACACACACACGGACCCCAAGAGATGGCTGGGGCAGAGCCAGGGTCCCCGCCAGGAAGGCACGTCAGTGAGTGACAAAGCCAGGCTGAGCCAGGCAGGTACCCCCCAACTCATGGTCATGGGGCGGGGGGGGGGGGTGCAGATGTTCTTGGAATCTCAGGGCCGGTGGTGGGAAATTTTTTTTTTTTTTTTTTTTTTTTTTTGCTGTTTAGGTCACACCCGGCAATGCACAGGGGTTCCTCCTGGCTCTGCACTCAGGAATTACTCATGGCGGTGCACAGGGGATCATATGAGATGCTGGGAATCGAACCCAGGTCGGCCGCACGCAAGGCAAACTCCCTCCCCTCTGTCACTCCAGCTATCGCTCCAGCCCCCTTGGTGGGAGATTCCTGATGTAATAAAAAGGCAGCAACATAGGAGGAAGAAGAGAGGGAGGTGTGCAGGAGGGGATGGAGGAAGACGGACAGATAACAGACACTGTCGTACAAATAACAGACGGCGAGACAGGGCGATGCCGGACAGTGGACAGGGAGGAGAGGCAGGGTGGTGGCCGCCTTTGGAGCTCTAGGCTCTGGACACCGTTGACAGTTTACACACAGTGTAACTCCCCCCTCCTGGGAGTGTGGGAGGGAGGGAAGGGGCCAGGCAGTGAGTGGGAGCCAGGCTTTGCCCCGGGCAGGGAGGAGCTGGGGGATAGGCCATCCTCCGGGTCCCACTGCCCAGAGGGCTGGATGCAGAGTCCCCCCTGGCCAGGATGCCCCAGCAGAGGACCCTGGCACTCCCTGCCCTTTGGGGCGGCTAGGGGACTCACCCAGGTACCACTTGTCCATGGCAGGGCCGGGCAGCGGGCGTCGGCGGAGCTGGTGGACGCTGCAGAGGAGGAGGGGGTGGACAGTGATGATGGCGCTGGGCTCGGCACTCACCTGGTGCAGCCGGAGGCGGGGCCGCCCACCTGGGCCTGCCCAGGCCCGCCCACGTGAGAGGGGGCGGGAAGGGGGGCCAGCGCCCCGCCAAGGTCAGCCCTGCACCCCGCCACTCCGGGCTTTGTGGGTCCCTGAAGCTGTGCTCAGCCGGGGCCCTGTTGGCTGCTGTGATCGGGCCGGGCAGGGTAGGGGTCCCCTGTAGGGAGCAGGTACCCCGGGCCCCCCTCCGTGTGATGTCAGCACCCAGGGCCGTGCAGAGTCAGACCCGGAGCCTAATGAGGTCTCTGAGGACCGGCCGGCCCCGGAGGTGGAGGAGCAGTGGGGGGGGGGGTGTCATAGCCGGAAGCCTGTGCTGTCATGAGGGGACGTACCCCCCCCCCACACACACACAGAGAAGCTCCGTGGGGAGGCGCTGACCATGGTGACAACCGCCTCTGCTGGGTCCCTCCTAGGCTACACTTCCTGCCCGAACTCGTGACAAGTCATGTCCTGGGGTGCCCGCCCTGGCAGGGGAGGGCAGACAGTTGGGGGGGGTTGCTGGGCGCTGTGGCCCCACCCAGCTGGCTCCCTCCTCCTCTCCCCTGCTGGGCACAGCCTGTGTCCACCTGCAGCCACAGCCGGACGTCTGAGCGCCGGGGCTCAGCTCAGAGAAGAACTCAGGGTTCCTTGCGGGGCTCCGGGTCAAACCCCCAGTTTCCTCCCGACCCTTAGTTCGGTGGAGGAGGCCCAGAAGTTTTCCAGGTGCTGCATGCAGCCCCCCACTTTACGAAGGGGCACCCCTCACTCCTGCTCAAACGTTGGGCTGGGGCCAGGGAGACAGAACAGAGGGCAGGGCACTTGCCATGCACACAGTTCACCTGGAGTCAGAGCAGAGTAGGAGTGGTCCCTGAGCACAGAGTGGGAGTGATCCCTAAGCACAGGAGTGATCCCTGAGCACAGACCCAGAAGTGATCCCTGAGCAGAGCTGGGAGTGATCCCTGAGCACAGAG